TCTGGTGTGTAGGAGAGCTGCACGTCCGGGTCCTTCAGGTAGTCCTCAGTGGACTGCCCAAAGTTGTCTGGGTTGGCAGCAGGTTCCTGATCTATGGGGATGGATGGCTCGCCCCCGCCAAAAGGAGTCTGGGGCGAAGTGACCGAGTCCTGCAGCAGTGGGGCAGACGAGGACTCATCCAACAGCCCCTTGGTCTCGATGTCGCCATCTTCTGAATCCTCCTCGTACTTCGGAGTGTCAGCTACCCACTTGCTCAGCGCCACCATGCCCACCAGCACGACGAGCACCACGATGAAAATTGCCACTGCGATGGTGACATAAAGGGCTGTGCTGACCTCAGTTTCCTTCTGGGTGGGGGTGCTGCCAGCGGGTCCCAGTTTCTTCACCATGGACCGGTTGCTTCCAAAGTAGGCAATCAGGCCATACTGGGCATTCTTCTGCTGTTCGACAATCTTGACCTGATCAAGGGTTGCGTTGAAAAAGAACACCGTGGCATGTGTCTCGACGGTGGACACACATGTTGTGTTGCCATCAGACCCATTCCTGTAGAAAGGCTCCTCTCCAGTAAGGGTAGAATTCGCAATGGACATAGTGCAGTTGCAGGCAGCAACCAGCCCATTGCCATAGGCAGCTGTGTCCTTGCTGAAATTGGAAAAGCCGACAGAGATGGTGGCGTTCCCATGGCACTGCACCGCACTGCCAGACGTATCAGCAGCGTTGGACTCGAACGTCAAATGCGACCCATTGATGGTCGACTTGCCCTTGACAACAAGCCCAGCTCCTGCGTTTGCCTGGTTGCCCTTGAAACTGCCATTGTGCAGAGTGGCTTGTGTCACGTCTTCCAGACTGAGGGCCCCACCAAGGCCTGCACAAGTGTTCTGTGTGAAATTTACAGCTGACACAGTAACAGATCCACCTTCAGCATGCACAGCACCGCCCAGGGCATCGCCAGTGTTTTTGTCAAAAGAACAGTTCACCAGATCAATCGCCTTGCCGCCAGCGGTGTGCACAGCGCCACCAACACCAGACAGCCCCTGCAATTCAGGAGCATTGATTGTTGCATGTGCCACAGTCCTGGCAGAATTCTCAACAAACTTCCCAGCTGTGATTTTCACACTTTCTGTGTCCTCAAAGTCCAAGGCACCACCAGAACCAAAGGCAATGTTCTTCTTCAGCGTGCAATTGTTCACTTGCACATCAGAGACCTCCTGTGCTGCGACTGCACCCCCTTGAATGCCAGCTTCGTTCGCTTCCATCGTCAAACCTGTGAGTGTCAGCGTGCCCCCCTGGTGATAAACAGCACCCCCGGTAGTATTTGCAGAGTTTGACACGAATTGGCTGTCCTCAACTGATACACTGACGAGCCCTGCAGTGAAGATGCAACCTCCGCCAGCACCACTGCCAAAAGCCGCATTGGATGAGCAGGTTGATGCACTCAACTTCGCACCCTTGGCCCCCTGGAGTCTCATTGCGCCTCCGCCCAACTGAGCTCTATTCCGAAGGAACGCACACTGTGAGGCAGTGATGCCACGATCTGATACCACAGATGACAAAGACAGTGCACCCCCCTGAGCATGAGCTTGATTGTCAGAGAAATTCGAAGATGTGAGCTGCACACTTCCGATTCTGTCTCCCTGCAGTCCGCCACCATTCAGCGTGGCCACATTGTCATGAACAGACACATTGTCCACTATCAGCTGGTCCACTGTTGAAGCAGCAATCCCACCACCATTCCCATCAGCCTGGTTGAACTGGACTTGGGTGCTGGTGATGGTTGCTGAGTCAGCGTCCGACACCGCAAGTGCAGAACCATCGCCTTGGGCAACATTGTACTCAAAAACAGAGTCCGTGACTGTGATCTTGCTGACGCCAACAAGCGCAGCACCCGCACCTTTGCCCAGATCACTGGCCGCTATATTGGACAGGCAAGAAACTGCGTCGAGCGTCACCTGGGGTGTGTCCTCAGCGAACAGGCCTCCGCCAGTGGAGGCCCTGTTCCTCCAGAAGGAGGCACCATGGACCACCAGGGCGTCTCCCTTGGCCACATGGACACCACCGCCGCTGCCCCCTGCAGAGTTGTCCACAAATGAGATCCCCTTGATGTCAATGGATCCCGAGCACACAGACAACAATGCACCACCTCTGCCTTTGGCATCATTGCCTGCAAAGACTGAGCTCTCCAGCTTCACCGTCGCGCCCACCTTGGGGCACTTCCCAGTCAAAGACGAGTCCAGAAACAGAGCCCCTCCATCGGAGATGGCTGTGTTTTCATGGAACCTGCAGGATTTGATTGACAGGCTGCCCTTCCCCGTCATAGCGAGAGCCCCGCCCATGGTGGCCATGTTCGTTGTGAAGTTTGTGCTCTCGATGGCCGCACTGGCATCCCCCACGTACAGCCCTGCGCCTTCCCTCACAAAGTTGTCCGTGAAATTCGTCCTGAGCAGCTTGGCCATGGACTTCCCGGTGACGTGCACGGTCCCCTGCTGCCCGCTGTACCCATGAAAACTCGTGTCTGCCACCGTCACCCGGGACCCCTCCGTGGCATAGACCGCCCCGGCCACCGGCAGCAGGGTGACCTTCGCGTTGGGCAGGTCGTCATCCCTGAACTTCCCGGCCAGACTCAGCTTGAGCTGCGGCACTGAATCCACAGATGGGGGCGCGTGCGTCCCAATGAAAACAGAGTTGGAGATCTCCACGTCGCTGGAGCCCCCAACCTGCAACGAGCCAGCCCACCCGGGAGCCGCGTTCCTGTCGAAGGTGCAGGCCTCCACCGCCACCGCGCTGGTGCCGTCGACCGACAGGCCGCCCACGCTGGCCCCCAAGTTGCCCTCCAGCGTGCACCCCTTCAGCACGACGTTGCTGTTGTCCGTCACGTAGACGCCGCCCGCCACCAGGCCCGTGCGCTGCCTCAAAAAGTCGGTGTTGGTGACGCTCGAGGCGGCGTCGGCAACCACCAGGGGCGCCAAAATCGGCCCGGCTTTCACCTCAGCGGGGAGATTCTCAAAGTGCGAGTTCACGATGTTGATGTCCTTGTTCTGAATGAGCACGATGCCCACGCCGTGACCGCCCACCCCGCCAAACAGCTTCACGCCGCTCTCCAGGACCATCTCTTGGGCATACTTGTTTGGCGTCTTTTGTTCGAATTTCTTGAAGCCGTGGCAACTGACTGAAGTGAAGACGTCGTCGTTGTCCAAGCCCCTGGCCTCGATCTGGCAATCGAGGGCGCCCGACGGGCGGGCCGCAATCGTCAGCGCGAGAAGGGCCACCAGGGCCGCAGGCAGCGCCTTTCGCGACATGCTGGCCGAACCCTTCCAGTTCGCTTTGTCTGTTCGGTTCAATTGGGTCGCATTCAATCACACAACCCTTCCACACCTGGAGAGCAGCACGACGAGCATCAGATCAAAGCATCGGCGCAGAAGGGGCCGATCTGCAGCATGCGCCGTCTCGAGCCGCGCATCAACGGCGGCCGCAAATCGCCGAGGGCGGTTCCCTAGCGAGTGGCATGCGGTGGGATGGCAGCACGCGGCAACAGCGACGAGCAAATCGCGCGACAACACAGTCCACCGTCAAATGGGCCCATCAGCCGTTTCGCCCCCTTCAGGGATCGCGCAGCACGGACGGGAACGATCCGTGCGCACTGCCAGCCTCCATTCGCCCTCCCGAACGCCGGTTTCATAATCGACAAACCCTGAAACGAGTGGGCCCAACCCCTGAGCCCCCCAACCGGCCACCTTGGACATTCCCGACCACGCCTCTCCGCATCTGATCAGCCCCCACACGCCCCCCATGTTCCGTTTTCACGTCACTGCGCCCCCCGACAAGCAGCGGCCGGCACTCACCTAATCGCCCCACCTTCCCACCTTCGCGCTCTTCGTGCCGATGCCCCTCTCGCGAGACCCAAACTGGGGAGGTATCTTCCCGGCGCCCTGACAGCAACGCGCGAGCAAGCGTCGTCGGCCCTCTCCTTCCGCCAATGCAGCACCGCCAATGCCCCGGGCCACCCTCCCCCTCTGCCCACACAGCACAAATGCACCGCTTCGAATTTTCAACACACGCCGCTCCAGACGCGGGCCATCCGCCACCCGCCGGGACCGGTTGGCACACCCCTTGGGGAAACTCGACAGCCAACGCTCCCCCCAGCCTAGGCCTGGGCTCTGGGCCTGCGAGTGGATTGAAAGATGTCGCCATGGAGAGCGGGCGGCGTCAGCCTTGAAAGGCGCAGTCGGAGGCCCCGGTGGGGGGTACCCGGTAGTGGGCGAGCCGGGGGAAAGGGCTGTGACTAACGGGCTTTGCGATGTGGATCAGTGAGTTTGGCATGGCGGTTGGGGTATTGGGGGGTTACGTTTGGGCGCTTGGGGTGGTTGGGCCCTCATCAACACCGATCGAGAGGGGCCAACGTCACAGGGACGAGGGCAAGGAGGGTCGAGGGGTGGGACCCCTTGACTGGGTGCCGCAGAGGCCCGTGTGTACACCACAACGGTTCACGGCGGACAAAGGGGACATCAGGGATTCTGTCCCTTACATCCAGGCCGTTCATAAATGTCCTTGATGCAATTCCGAATGCCTCATCACCTCTTTTTCCGTCCAGCTGTTAATAATACTCGATCAGTCCTAGTTACAACAACAGCGCAAGGACTGCACGGGTTTAGAGGATACCGTGGAGGCAATTATTCCTGTAGGTCTTGGAGACGTTTCATGCCGTTTGTCCAGAGAATTCGAGGATTTTGGAGTTTCCCGCTGGCGTGCTGTCGGACATGGGGTAATGAGCTCGGTGGTCAAACAGCAGGCTGCCATACCGTTTGAAAACAGCGTGAACAGCAACTTCGTTCTGGGCGTTCAACATCCAATTCGTCTGCAGTCATCAAGTGCTAGCCTCCGCAATAAAAGAAGCACTGGCAGCAAATAGAGCCGTTCTGGTCAGCGCGTTACTGTAATGGCAATTATTGGAACCTGCATTGACAGGTCTACCAGAACTTCGTGAAGACAAGTTGCGAAATTTGCACACAGCTTCGTTTGCTGTGCAGCTGGCATGCTCGCAATGAGGATTCGAATGACTAGTAGGTGCACAAAAGGCTTCCTGGACACTTGTTGTGCTAGTTAGGGGCTCGGTAGCATTTGGAATGGTACTGCCTAGGGTCGTCTGACGTGCCCACAACGCTGTGCGTACGGAACGTTCAACTCGTTTACAAATGAGGCCTATTTCTGCTGCAGTTGCCTTCTCAGGCACTGCCACATTAAAGCCGCAGGGCCCCCTGCCAAACGACTGATCCATTCTATTGAATGCCTTGTGAAATTCCCAAACGCAACAGGGTGTCCAGTGTGGTCCAAGAACAGGGATGGTAGGCGCAAACCATTTTCCAATGAGAAAACAAGTACAAAAGCAAATCTGCACCTGGCAATCCCGGCCCTCGAACGCATGGGCCCCTAGACACAATGGATCTTGGGCTGCATGAAGGGGCTTCCCAAAGCCAGTGCCAGTGCTGCAGGCATTGCACTGGATACCGTGTTCTGCTGTTGCTTCTCAAATCCACGTTCCAGCAAGATTTATGCTTGGCAGTTATTCTCTACAATGAGAAATCCAAGAAGTTGGGCTGCCTCTTGAGAACCGCTACCAGTGCATCGCCATGGATTCCCACTCTTGCTAGCCACCCCACAGTTAACTGCAAGTTCTTGTCCAGGGAGCAATTCGAACACCAGTGGAAACATACGCAGCACAGCAGCCATCGCAAAGGCAATGAATCCATGCTCACAAACCAGTTGATGGTCAGCTGCCACTTGTCTTCAATGAAACAGGTAAGCAGCTGTGAGCATCGCCAAAGAAAATCTGCCAGTGAATCGCCCAAACAACCCACACATGTCAGCAATTGCACATGTGGCTTGAAATTCCTGTCATGCAGCAATACAACACCTGTGGGAATCACAGCACAACAAAATCCATCGAATTGCCATACACTCACGCACTTGCAAAACAGTTGATGGTCGGCTCCAATCTGTCGTCAGTGGCACAACCAAGCAGCGGTGGGCATAGCTGAGGAAAACCTTAGAGAGGTAATACCTGCATTTGCTAGCTATTCCACATTTGGCTTTACTTGTTTTGTTCCTGGAGCATCCCCAAATCTTTGGGTAGACCACAAGAAGTCGTGACAGGTTCCCCGCGGCACGTTGAGCGAGCTTAGGATTGCCAATCTCACTGCAAGTGCTGGGGAGGCATCGTCTGCACAGTATGGAATTCCTGCACAATCACTCCCGCATCATTCAAGGAAGCCCATCCAGGATGAACCACGAAGCATTCGCTTTCAGACTCACTGGGGTCTCCGCCACCGAGATCAGGGATCTGCGCACCAGCTCCTCCTTCATCGGTACCTCGGACAGCCACAACTGTGCCCAGAATCCCGCAGTGATTTCTGTCCATTTGTACCTGTTCCACTCTCAGAATTGCGAGCTGGTGCATTGCGCCCGTCGCAGCCTCCGCTCCCGCAATGCGCCCTCGCCGCTCCAAGCCCCTCGGCAGACGGCGCAGGTCCCTTCTTCGGCGTTCCCATTTCCCCATCGTTTCAACAACTCGACCTGTACAACTCCCCACCGGCGAACCGCCACGAAGAGCGCCCAACTCCCTGGCACCGCGCTGCCTATTAAATGAAGCCGACGTTGCTTCGATTGCCAAACCACCGCTGCCCGGCCGGTGGATTGACGGTGCCCATCGGCGGGCTGAACGGTGCCCCGCATTCTCCCGGCCATGATTCGTCTATGCAGCAGGATCCCCGACGATTCTCAATCGACCTTGGGCGCGGGGCAGAAGCCAGTAGTTGAGCTCGTCAGATACTGGCAAACGCTTGCAGCCGGCTCCTCTTCTGCTCCGCGACGCGGCGGCAGAGCGCAGGGGCGGCTGCCACAACGGCGACACGGAACGCATGGCTGGGGCGCCCTTCATTTGACCGTCAGATACCACTGCGTGCTGCTGCGCAGCGGCAGACTGCAGACTGCAGACTGCAGGCTGGCGAACGCAGCTGCAGTTGCAGTGTGTCAGAAGCTTTTGACAGGGCTTCCGACCCTTGAGGCCCCGCGGCGATTACATCAGTCCCCACTTCTTTTCACTTCTTTTCCCGTCTTTGTCTTCAACATCCCTTCTTCTGCTGCTGACAAGGCCAGCGGGGTTTACTGGCTGCAGGTCCAAGTCCTCGTACACGCCAAGTGGGAGGACACCGTATATCGCGCAGGCCACAAGGATGGCCACAGTGCGGACAGCCCCTTCTCCTTGGGGGTATGGGTATCTGTGGCGATGCCCAACCCATTGGAAGCCGCATTTCGCTGACGTGGAGCATCTCCACCGCCATCCCATGGCCAGTGCATCACCGCAAGATCGCCAGCCACGACATCGCCCTTTTGGAGATCGGCGTGGTGCCGGCGCCCAGTTGAAGCTCCCGCTAGCGACCGGCGCGCCTGCAGGCTGACCCGCGAGCCGCCGACCACCATGCTGTCGCACACGCAGCTCAGCACCGGCCGCGGCCTCAGCACGGAAGGTGGGCGCCCCAGCAGGAGCAAATCGCGCGCTGAAGTGCAGATTCCCAGCCAGTGTTGCTCGAGCGGCGATTGTGGAACTCTGCACGCAGTTTTTCCCCGCTTACAGGGCGCCAGATTCGGTGCCAACTTCGCGCACTGTGAAATGCTAGCAAGGGGATTGCCAGAAGCTTTGTCGGTGTTGTGGGTATTGGCTTGTGAGTGTTGTCGTGTTGGTGAGCGGAGATTGAAGTTGTGGCGTCCGTGGTGTTGCGGTGGCAGCCGCGCGGTCCCGAAAACACCTGGTCGTGAGGGCCGCCAAGCCGGACGGCAAGGAGGGAGAACCCATCGGACCCAAGAGGGGCACTAAGGTGAGGGAGGCCCTGGGGTCCACGCTCGCAGAGACAGCTCGTGGGGGTCTAAATTTGTGTGTTAGTGGGCTCTTGTATTTGGTGGCTCTTGGGCTTTGAGGGCTAATTTGTGGGTGATGTATTGTGGGCCTGTGGGTGTGTTATCCAAGTTGGTGCCGCAGAGTCGGCTGGTCGCAATGTTCTGGTGGGGCAGCAGATTTCGCCGAATGTTGTTTTTATCTCTTCTTTTAATCGCTCAGGTCAAGATTCTGCGGCCAGAGTCGTACTGGTACAACAAAGTGGGCAAGGTCGTGTCTGTGGATCAGGTGAGTTGTGATCCGTGTGTGAAGCCCATTCCTTGCATTTGGCAAAAGCACAGGGTAAGAGACAGTCCCTTGCACCTGTGGAGGCGATGACAGGCATTGAAACGTGGTGCAGATACAAGCAAGCCCCAGGGCTGTCGGCTGTGCAGAGACAGCAGCCCTGTTTGTCGTCTCAGCTCTGTGGTTTGGCGTGGTCCATACCTGACAGATGCAGTCACTGTTTGCAGACCGGGATCCGTTACCCTGTGGTCGTGCGCTTCGACAGCGTGAACTACATGGGCGTGAACACGAACAACTATGCTCTCGAGGAGGTCGCAGAAACTTGAGGTATGGGCACGGAAAGATCGACACAACTGCGGTTCCCGAGTGGCGGCCATGCAGGCGCATCCAAAATCGTTGTTTGAAGCTGTGGACTGATGAGGCAATGTTAAGGAAATGGGAGGCAACGCTGGTCAACAACTTGGGTTGACCTTCACACTGGCTGCAGTTATGGGCGCCAGGGAGTTCCTGTATTTTGTTTGGGAGCTGGCGTCTGTGGAGATCCCCAGTTGACAGTCTGTGAGGACATTTTTGCCCGACACGAACTTTTGCATGCAAACGGCAGCGCTTTGCCACTCTGAGGGAAGTGTAAGCACGGATTTTGCAGCTGGGGCCAGAAGTCGCAGCACAATGCAGCTGCAGCAAAATGTTGACACACAAATTCTTTGTCAATTGGGTGGACATGCAGCTTCTGCTGGACAGCTGGACATCAGTATGTGGCTGGTGAATTTTGGAAGCAACTATTTGTGTTGGTCACCGGTTATTATCTTGGCGGATAGGCCATGGCAACTTAGGCCTCAAGCCATGCGTTTGGCTGCGACAAAGTACCAATAAATTGCGGATTGGGGAATAGCTCCCATTGTTGTTCGTTGCTTGCAAACATCAAATCATTCGGTGGGAGTCACCAGATGTCGAAATGCTGCATTTGTGGCAGTTATGGGTCAGGGTGAGCTGGCATCATTTTGCCCCAGTGCTATTGTGATAACGCTGTTCGTTTGAGAGTGTGCTTGGGTATATGCGCAGGAACCAACTACAGAAGGGGACACACCTTCGCAGGGGCTTCAACGGATGTGATTGGGACTATTTTGTAACTCGACAAGAAAAACCAGTTTTGTGTTGTGCAGTTTAAAAGATTTGTCTGTTAGATAGACAAGGATGTCACTGCCTGGACTTGGATGGGGTGCAGAGCGCCCGGTGTTATGAAGAAGCCACCCCTTTGTCACCAGGGTGACAAGTGGCGACCTCGCTTCGTTTCTTGCTGGTGCCTCTCAAATATCGGAAATCCAACTATCTACAGAACCATACGGTTATTTCCCGGGGTGCCCCAGGCAGTGCAAGTGCTGGACAAGAACTGAATTTCTGTGCTTGGCAATCTGCCTCCCAGGCCGCATGATGACTCCGTTATCATGTCCACAGTGGAGCGCCGTACAGCACATCTGATCGAAGGATGGCCAATCTCCATCTGCAGGGCTTCGCACGATTGGGACCATTCTGTCATGATGGTTTGAAACCCAACTGTGTGGCCAGTGTCCATGGGCGACTGAATATACTGGCCGTTGTTCGAGAGAGCGAGTCACGAGTTAACCAATGATTGGTTGTCAGAAAATGCGAGTCGGCCCAGTGTGGCACCCCTGGGAGAGGTGCCCCTCTTGATGGACAAGCAAGCAATACGTCAGCCCCTCGTGGCCCTCGGTGATGTGGAATGGCCGACACCCTTGTACAGTGCAACGAAAGTTCATCGCCAATGGGATTCAGCGCCTCCCCGGGGCCTGCTTGAATCCCTTGCTTGTCGATATGTGCAACCATTACTGATCGACCTCTCGAACCTTGGACTGCACCCAGGCCAAGTTTTGCTGCTTGACAAAAACCTTTTTCTCGCCCGACAAGTGCAGAGACCAAGGGTATCTTTGTAATACTCTTGAAGGAAATGACCGTTGATGCGATTCAAACGGCCCCCTTTGGAGTGCACACGGGAAGTGCGAATCCACGATCGCCGATGCTTCAACGGGTTGGCACATGGCCAGACGCAAGGCCACACCACACACAAAACGCCCGGGGCTTACATAGTTGTTCACCCTTCCCACCCACAACGAAGAGCCTTGCCGATGGTGGCAACAACTCCTGCAACTGAACAATTCGAATCTCTTTGCACCCACAGAACTCCTCCTTTCACATGACAAGGATCATCATCCACCACAAACCAGCCATACGATAAAACACATTTTCTTTTCTTTTTGTGGATTCAGAATGCCTTGTATATTCTTGAAGTGCATACAAGTCGTACGCCATAATTCATAAGTGATCCACCCAGTGAAGTCGTGGTCACTATGCGGTGTTGCGAACAATACCGTATTAGGAACATCCTTATTTATGCAAAGCTCATAGTCCCCCTGACAGCGGAACTCAACTTCCCCTCATCTTCGCAAATTAGTACAAACAAACCAGAGTACTAATCTGCCAGGACGTTGAGGCTTGCAACGCATACAGAGAGTGTTGAAGGAAAGAAAAAGTTGAAACCCAAGATGCACCTATGTCCATGACAAGCAAGCTACAAGTGGCAGTGGAAAGCCTTCCGCCCTCTGGAAAAGTGATGCACGTCACGCAATGGCACAACCCCTACTTCCAGCGCCCTCACAAGGTCCCTTCTGCCCTGTGTGTCCCACTCTCATTTCAAGGTGCGCAGAAACGTCACCAGGGCGCTGAGGCCCTCATGGGCCCGTGTTGCAACTGACCGTGGTACAGTGGCACCGATTTCGCAAGACGCCAGCCGACGGGAGTTGTTGCTGGGCAGATGCTGTGCCCCCCTCCGCAACATTCCAAAACGCACATCAGATTCGTCCGAACAGATCGAAACATTCCGAAAGGTGTCAAGGCCACACAGGCCTGTGCACTCTCATGAAAGCCCATGCAGCTGACCCCTCGCTTCAACAGAATCGAATCACATGGCCGCAAAATCCCTGAAATGCGAGCCCACCCCGATTCTCCACATGCCTCCCACGACTCGTCATGCAGCAAGCATGCAGGTGCCCTGGCAGATTCGTGCAGAACAGCGCGCGCAGCACTTTGTCCCCACCCACAACATGGACCTCTCACACATGAGGGATCCACGTTGGAGTGCTGTTCATTCCCTAGGCGCGCTTTTGCGGGCTGCATTTGTCCTCAGGCGCATTGGTCTTGCTGCTGCCGTGCGTGCAGCAAAGTCGTATGGCAGGCGGTCCCTTGACGCACGTTTCCAGCGAGGTTCTAATCATCCAACATTACCCTGCAATTCAGTCCACGTTTCCCAAATGTAACTGCAAGTGCCGAATTGCAAAACGTATTCAATGCCCTCACAATTTGGGCAGCAGTTCTGCGTGATTTGGGGCTGTGCCAAATAGGAAACGATCCCTTCCTTTCCGACATTTCTCTCGTTCCTTCTTCTTCCCTTTCTCTCCCCATTGCAGTCCGCACACGAATAGCTAAACATCCTTGCAGTTGCACAATCCAATCTGCGTGGTGCCTGCAACTCTCCCGAGTCATTTGCAAGAGGCCCACCCGCACTAAGCAAACGATTTCATGTGGCACTGCCCTGGTGGGTTTGTCGACATTTCAACAGCGACTGCATTTTCAGAATCCCCCCTGATGCGGTGAGTGGCTTCTTGTCTGTGAACATGTTGTATGTGCACCTGCGCCTGTGTCAGCGCACCAGGCTGCCATCTAAGTGACAGGATCACATGCTCCAAGCGCACAGATTCTGTCATTCTGATACTGTCGTTCTGAACGACTGACACATATGTGTCTGAATGCATGGAGGTCCCCCTGCGCTGAGCATGTCTTGGCGCTGCAGTTGTCAGTACTCCAGGCTGTGGTGTTGGTATATACAGAACATGAGGAGAGCAACTCGCGGCTGTATGCGATGCGGACGAAACTCATTCTCAACATTAGTACAACAGAAACCCATGCATCTGTTGTCCGAACAAAGAATGGGATGTCCCAATGGTAGGCTGCGTTTTGCTGAAGGTGCCTACTACCGGTGCTCCTCATTGCCAGACCCATTGAGCACAAAACAGAGCGAACTTCACTCACTTAGTATCGCAACTTGCTGGCTGCTGTGCGTGCGTGCGCGGAGGTGTCATTGGAACCGCTGGGAACGGGGCGGAGTCCTGCTGGTCACCACGGTGTTTGTGTAGAAAGCCGGCGGCTGACTGCCAGGGCCTCCCACGTGGCCGCACACAACTTTGTTCATGGGGGGCGCAGGGAGTCATGTGTACATCTGTTGTACAATCCGTACTGCCAAACACGCCACGCACAAACCTCCTTCCAACCTCTGCACGCCCTGTTGACCAATTGACAACAGCGAGTGCCAAAATCCGTTCTGTTGTGCAAAGCGCGCCACCACCAACAACCTTGGTCAGTTGCTGTTGAAGGCCTCCAGCTTCACGTCCCGTACCACGTAGCCCATGCTTATGCCCACCATTTGAATCCGTGCAACAGCCTGAGACAGAGAAAATTTCTGCCCTTGTGCTGTACAGATCCACATCCCGGCGTCAGATCGCTGATCACCGCTGTATTTCCCCACTGGCAGGCCGCTTCGACATGAACATTGTGTTCGAAAGTCCTTGGCGAAAGCAAAACACTGTGATGTATGCAAGCAAGTCAGAGCCACAACAGGATGTCCTTGGTGCACTGCCAGCATCATTTTGCTTGCAACAATAGATGTTGCGGCTGTGCCGACAATGCATCGATCACTTCCGCTTGTGAAAGCGCAAAGAGTAAGCAAGCATGCTAACAACATACAAACATGGAGATTCAAGCCTGTCAAGATGACAATGCGATAGCGGTGTACAGGCTTGGTTTTGACGCCGTAAAACCTGATTGTATTTACGTTTTTACGCGTAAAAATAGGTAAAAATACGTAAATACAACGTAAAAACTGCCCGGTGTACATAAGGACAGTACCTACAGACTTTCGAGTGGCAGCCAGACGCCCTGGAAGGGGCAGAAAACGAGTTTTTGTTAAACGCCATCATCGCCATGGCCAAGGGCGAGGTGGACATTGTGTCGCAGGTGCTGGAGATGGCGGAGGACTGACCATTGTGCGCAACTTTCATCGTGTAGCCTGGGTGTCCCAGGGAGCCGTAAAAACGTAAAAATTGCCGTAAAAATTAGGACCTTTTGCAAATTTACGTTTTTACGCGTCAAAACGTAAAAGCAAAAACGTAAACGTTAACGTAAAACCCAAGCCTGGCGGTGTAGATAGGCAGTTCGCAGGGAGTGTGTTTGCTGTTTCATGACCAACCTCTCTTCC